GCCGTGTGACTGAGAGAAGCAGCGCTTTTTAAAATACATTTTATTGATTTTTTTATAGACAGGAAGGGAAAGGGAGATGGATAGAGTGTTTGAAACATTGATGAGAGGAAGATCGATCAGCTGCCTCCTGCACACCCCCCACTGGGGATGTGCCCGCAACCAAGGTACATGCCCTTGACCGGAATCGAACTCAGGACCCTTCAGTCCGCAGGCTGACGCTCTATCCACTGAGCCAAACCGGTCAGGGCGAAGCAGTGCTTTTTGACCTTTTGAGACCAACTACGAGGAAATGTCCCTGCCGTGTCGGGCATGTGGATTTGGTGTATTAGATAAAAGGGAAAAAATACACAGCTACCCCCGTCCATCCACATGAAATCAGGATCCCGCCACACCAAGGAAGCCGTGACCCCCGTGTGCCTCGAAGGAACAAGGGCTCCGTACCTGTCATGTACACTGCACACTCGCTGGCGGGGCTGAGACCAGCCCTGTTCTGAGCTGTGACCCGAAATTCATACTGAGTATTTGGCACAAGGTTTGCCACTGAGCAGTATGTTTCCTTGACGGTCACTGTAGACTCTGGAAAGAAAAGAAAAAAGAATTCAACCCTGAAACAGGCCCGTGGTTCCTATTCATTGTGCCCTCTCACATCACTGTTTAAACTCACTTTTACTTTTCTCAAGAATGCCCCTCCTTTCCTGGTCCCTGGGCAGAGCCCTCCTCTCCCTCAGCACTCAGGACCCTCCCCTGCACAATGACCAGAGCTCTGGGCAGGAGCCTGGGGACCTGATTCGCACCCTGGTGCCACTATAACTCACGCTGTCTCCATGGACGGCTCATTTCTCTCTGGGTCTCAGTTTCTTTATCCACAAAATGGGTGTCTCCCAGTCCCTTTCCCACATTCTCACGCTGACCCCATGTACATAGGACAATCCCTGCCAGGCTGGCCGATTAGGGGGGGGCAGCTACCCAACCCTCCGCTCACATCAGTCTGTTCCATTTCCCTGGGAAGAGGCTGGATCAAGAGCTGCCCACAGCCCTGGCCAGTTTGGCTCAGTGGATAGAGCATCGGCCTGTGGACTGAAGGGTCCTAGGTTCAATTCTGGTCAAGGGCACATGCCCGGGTTGTGGGCTCGATCCCCAGTAGGGGGCGTGCAGGAGGCAGCCAATCAATGATTCTCTCTCATCACTGATGTTTTTATCTCTCTCTCCCTCTCCCTTCCTCTCTGAAATCAATAAAAATATTAAAAAAAAAAAGAGCTGCCCACAGTAGAGCTCATCCCAGGAGCTGGTTCTCCCTTGAATGGGGGTCTGCAGTTCTCCCACACAGGGCTGCTCCGAGGATAGCCAGCCGCCCTCACAGGCCCGGCCCTGCTAGGACCTGTCAGCCCAGCTGGGCCTCCTCCAGCAGGGGTGCCCCACCTCCTGCACACAGTGTAGCCAGAGCCTTGTCCCGAGGACAATGCTGACTGCACCGTGCAAATGCCTTCCAGACACGTCAGCCTGGCCTATGGTCCCCCCAGTCAGGCCCCGACTTGCCTTTAGAGGCCGTTCTACCTGCTCACCTGCCGGCATCACATCCTCTGGGTAGTTCCCAGATGACGATCGCTCCAAGGGCTGGGTGAGCAGATTCATCCCCTCCCCTCCCCCGACGGCCAGGAAGGCAGGGCCAGGCCTCTGATGGGGGTGGGGAGGCATCTGGAGCATGGCTGCTCCCGGCAGAGCCTCACCTGTGTGGTCCGTCCCAGGCGAGCCATCCCGCACTGGCCGGTAGGACAGCTGGTAGCTCTCCACGGTGTCATCAGAGTACAAGCTCCAGCAGACGCGGACCGAGGAACCCGTGGCTGAGTTGGGGGCCTGCGGGTTTATCACCGGGGCAGAAGGAGCTAGAAGAGAAGGGAGGAAAACCAACACTGATGAGGGGGCCTAAGTAGATGGGATGGGGCGGCCCCTTTCTCAGGACCACTGATCCCCCCATGGGCTCCCATGGGCTCAGGAAATGGACGAGGGAGCCCAGAGTGGACAAGGATCGGAGGCCGAACCTCCCAACCAGGAGCTGCAGGCCACAGCCAGCGCGGCCCTTCCTGCTTGGACAAACCCGCACGAGCCCGGGGAGGAGGGGTCGTGACAGGGACTCAGGCTGGTGTATGGTCTGCGAGTCCTGCCCTATGTGTGGTCCTCTGCCCCTTCCATACCACGTGGAGGGGCAGGACAGCAGGACTCAGCACTGCTGCCCCGGTGAGTCTAAGAACGGCCCCGAGACTTATGACTGAGGGCCAGTACTCCGGTTTATGTGGCAGAAAAGCCTAGAAACATCTAACATCCAACAGTTGAGAATTGAACAAACATGGTTTTAAAGATGATGTTGCAGAAAAATGTATCCCTTAACACTGAGAGAGAATACGCATCATAATTATTTTGCTAGGAAGATCGGATTACAAAGCAGAATGACTCCATTTTTATCTTTAAAAAATCTGCGTAGAAAACACACCTAAAAGGAGATATACAATACTGTTCACAATGTTGCTGGTGTTGGTTAGGAGGGAAGGTGAACCATCAAAAAAGCTGAATTCTAGTACTTGTCTCAGAAGTAATTACAAGTAATAGTTTTGAGAGCTACCTGGCACCATGTGACGTGCTGTACATATAGGACCTCATTTAATTCTCACCCTGTCCCCATGAGGCATTATCACGCCCATTTTACAGATGAGGAAACCAAGGCTCAGAGTGGTTAGGTAAGTTGTCTAGGCCAGTGGTCGGCAAACTCATTAGTCAACAGAGCCAAATATCAACAGTACAATGATTGAAACTTCTTTTGAGAGCCAAATATTTTAACCTTAAACTATATAGGTAGGTACATTGTTATTCACTTAATCAGGGTCCTCCTAAGCTGGCCTTTGCTAAAAACGTCCTCAATCTGAGGGGTTGTCCTCAGCGAACATACCGCCACTTCTTCTAATGCCACTTCTTCAAAATAGACTCATCCAGGCTGAAAACAGACTTCTGTGCAAGGGCCATGAAGTTTCGATTGCACTGTACGTGCGCACCCGCACGTGGTATTTTGTGGAAGAGCCACAACCAAGGGGCCAAAGAGCCGCATGTGGCTTGCGAGCCGCGGTTTGCCGACCACCTGTCTAGGGTTACGCAGCTAGGAAAGTGGCAAGCTTGGGCTTCTTGCCCACTCCACAGGATTCCAAAGCTCATCTCGTAGCCTCTATGCTGGTTACGGAAATAAAACTCAGGCTCCTTGTTTGGCGAAGGTGTTGATGAAGTGGGGCACGCTACGATGGAAACTACTTCAAGGCTTCCCTGAGCCAGGTGTTGGCACTCGAAGAGTGAGGGTGGGCACTTACCTGGGGAGGTCGGCCTCTGTTCTCACCCTTACCAGCCATGAAGACAGAAACATGAAGCTGGGGGCGGGGGGAATGCTTTTCTAAGTCTTCGTGTTATTTCTAGCCATCCACGTTTCTACCTCAAGGCTCAGGGAACCCGGAGGCGCTGGGACGCCCCGCCCGGGGGAGATGAGCACCTGGGATGGTGTTGATGGAGCCCAGCAGCTGCTCCACGTCAGAGAAGTCCAAGGTCTGGTCCTCCACGGCAGGCTGTGCGGAGATCTCCACGTCGGTTTTTGTTTCCAGGAACTTCCTGAGTCTGTTGGTATTAGAAGACATGCTAGTAAGACGGGAGAGGCAGCCTCCTTGGTGTGTCTTTAATGTTTTGCTGCTTCGATGGCTGACCTAGCAGGTCACCAATGGGGTTGGGTGGGGCTGGTCTGTGCACGAGGGGAAGGGGAGGGGAGACACGCGCCAAGCCCAAGATCCACACCCTCTGAAGACCCCTCTGGTGCTGACCTGGGAGCTCCCTCCCCACGCCACCCCCAGCCCCAGACATAGACTCCCCGGGGATCCCTCTCCACAGGCCACATGCCCTCAGCTTGCCCACCGTGCAGTGGGGCTCTGGGTCTTCTTATACCTGCTTCCTGGCAGTCGCAGGCTTCGAGTGGCAGGGGCAGAATTAAAACCAGATCTTTTGCCTGTACTCATGCTATTAACTCTTACACTATTAAGCTTTGTTGTTCATGTTGTTTTTAAGACACTGCCTCATTGAACTCCCACAAAACCATATGAGGAAGGTGGGTC